TGTGGAAAAAGTTTGAAAAATTAACGTTAATTGATACTGCGGCTTATAATCCGGTGCGGCTTTTGGTCGTGAAAATACGGTAATTAAAAAAATACTAGACTGTGCATAAATTGACAGATTGACTTTAAAGATAAAGAAAAAGAAGATACAGAATATTTTCAAATATGGGACTTGGTTTATCAATGATTGGATAACAAGAGGTAGAAATTAGGAAAAGAACTATTATGTAAGTAATTTGATCCAGATAATACGCTGTTCACAAAGCACTTATGTATGTAAAGAGAAAATGTATGAACAAACTGTTAAAAAAAGATATGTCTAAACTGATGTAGACTTAGACTCATCCTTACTGGATAAACCTATATTGATAATATGGGTTTATTTAGTATGACTAGTAAAATTTCTAGCAAGAATGAAGTAGTTGTATATAAATAATCTCAAAATGTACATTAGTCAAAAATATAAAATATAATTTCTAGCCTAGTTAAATTCTGCATTTTTTGCAAGATTTAATCTGGGTCAGTCACCGGGACCAGAAGTTTAGTCTTCTGAGTTTTTGGATTCGTGCTAGAGCCCATCCTCTGCACTTTTTATACAGCTCTTTCTTAATATGTCTACTCAGTTATAGCTGACATTTTGAATTCTTGTTATCAAAGGAAACTTCAAATACTTCCAAGAGTTCTTCTACCAATTACATTCACTTGAGTATTAGATTACATGTACATATAAAACTTGGGTTGCAGCAACTGTATGTTTGAAATATTATGAAATATTGACTAGAGCTCATGAATGTATACATTCTTTATTCAGATCCTTATGCTAAAATGAATTCTTAAGAAAAAAGTTGGTGTGGAATTTCCATCATGAGGACTAGGATTCAATGGAAATTCAACAATTCTGGATATCTGGAAGACATTTTAAGGGCCAAATGCATGACAAAAGTATCATTTGAGAAAGGAATTTTATTTCAAGCTCTATGGGGAGGGGTATTACAAACCATAGGGAATAAAAACATTAGAAACTATTCCAAAATTGGCTGTAGCTTTAAAATAAAGATTCAAGCAGGTTTTACAATGAAGAATACCCAATGAAACGATTTTAAAAGATTTTAAAAGTATTGGCTTTACCATATTCGCTAACCCATTATTTAAAAAAAAGTTGGGCATAAATATTCCGTGCATTCATATGCATTATTTGGTGTTGCATATTATATACCTTGGTACAGTATTTAAATTATCAACGAAGAGTTCAAACGCAGTGCACTTATAAATAACGTAGTCATTATAAATCACATTGAAAACATACTTGCTATTTTCATTGTTACAAATTCAGTATCCCAGTGAACATAGAAAGAAAGTAGCTACAACAATCAATAGTTGACTTTATTTTTTAATATAAAAGATATTAATGGAAACCCACCCTATCACTTCCTTCCCTAAATGTAATGCTTTACCTCTTTGAAATAAAAATAAAGTACTAATTCTATATACATCACATGTACCATACAAAAATGTATCCAAATTTTCTATTGCTACCAAAGTGTTCTAAAATTAAAAGTTACATAAATCCCCTCACTGAAGCAGATTACAAGTTACAAAAAAAGTCAAATTACACACAACCCATCAAGTTATTTTATACAACCATTTTCAAGACAACTTTTTCTCTCAAAGCAAATTGTCTTATGTGCCTGTATAAAAATGTATATCAATATACTTTTCTTATTTATTTCTCTTTATAAAGCAAAGTAATACATTTTCTACAATAAATATAACACAGGGAGGCACATAAAATTCAGGGGAGATAGATGAGATATGGATTTGTGAAAAATAATACACTTAACAAGCTTTAAGTCGGTGTTGTGTAATCACAACAAATGTCTAAAATGGTATCTTGGGCAACAATGGAGTGTTTTTAGAGAGATTTTTCAACTAATGTACATAGCATAATTTTATTCCCATTATATTTCTCACAAAGTACCCTCCAAAATAATGTAATTCCTTATTTAAAATATTTATTTGTTGTCATAAATTTACAGTTTAGGTATGTGGTACTTTGTGCAAAGAGTAATGATTTTTGCAGAGTCAAACATTCAGAGGCCTTGTTAAAAACTATGGATCACAAAAAAGTTACATAAGCAGCACCGCATCATAATATATGATCTACTAAACCAATCTGATGTTATTTCCTTAGAAAGTCCCTTAGCACCTATTGCTGGATAGTGGTGCCTATGTATTTTGTTTTATGTGAAAAGAAATGGAAGCGACAATCTATCTTTTTCCCAAACAAAAGAAAAGAAATTTTAAAAAGCTACATCTAAAATCAGAATAAGTTAAGAGCTGACTATACATATATATACATTTTATAAACACTATGAACAAGATATATTTTAATGGAAATGCTTGAAACAGCAACATAATGATAAAACTTTAAATCAATATGGCAATGGTGATTTAGAGAAGCTGCTCAACCAGTTTAGTTTGCAGAATTCTGCCACTGGATCAATGATTACTGAGCTGTATCTTCAATACATTCTTGTAGACAAAGAGGTTAATTTGTAGTTCCCTACATAAGGTTGTTTTATATCTTGGTGACAACCTATGTCAGTCAATATCACTGAAGTCACTGACTGGCTCTCCATGAACTCTACTTAAATGGTTCATAGCACGATCAAAAGCAACTCTTACAGCTTTACGAATACTTGAGTTTCGACCTTCCATCATTTTTAATTTATCTATTGTTTCGTCGATCCCAAGTGGAATCATTTTGGATTTTGGAAGCCACTGCCTGTAAACAAATTAAAGAAAAAGATTAAAAATGATTTCGGAATAAAAAATAATCAAATACTGAATGCTTTTCCAACAATTCTTTTTTAAAAAATGTCTATTTTATCATTTTAACTAACAGTGTATATCTTTTGGGGGCTGGTGAAGCACTTAGTCTTTGCTACAGTTCCAAATGTGATGGGGCCAAGACAAGAGCAAGGTTTGATTTAAACTTTGCTTCATTTTAATCTTGGGAAAAAATGATCCAACAATCCAGTCAAATTAGATTATGATTTTAGAAGAAATATGGGAATCCTAAGTCATGTTATTTATGGATTATTTATGAGTTTTAAAAAAATTATATGATTTTCCCATCTCACTGAAAGCGTCTCTGGGCAGTATACAATTAAAACAATATCGCAATATCACAACTGTTGAAAACTTAAAAAATAAATAAAAAGAACATCGAAACACAAAATAATCATCCAACAGGCTTCCCATGAGATTCCCCAAGACTGCTGGACAAAAAAACACATTTTCAAAAACTTCAGAAACGCCAACAATGATAGGGCTAACTTCACATTGGGAGGGGGAGAGTCACATTCTAGACAGCAGGAGTTACAGAAAAGAGAAGTGAAACAAATATCAGACGGGGTGATCAATTACATATGTTTGAACTTGTCTGGAGGGAGAAGAAAATAATCTTACACACAAGCATAGACACAAACACACATTTCTTTTTCTCTGTACTTTTGCTTGTATTAGTTTGCAAACTTGTACAGGTAGTCCTCGACTTACAAACACAACTGAGCCCAGGATTTCTGTTGCTAAGCAAAAGTTACTGAGTTTTGTCCCATTTTACAATCTTTCTTGCCACAGTTGTTAAATAAATCACTGCAGTTGTTAAGGTAGTGACATGGTTGTTAAGTGAATCTGGCTTCCCCATTGACTTTGCTTGTCAAAAGGTTGCAACAGATGATCACATGACCTCAGGACACTACAACCATCATAAATATAAACCAGTTGCCAAGCATCTGGGTTTTGATCACATAACCATGAGGATACTGCAATGGTCTTAAGTGGTCTTAAGTGGTCAAAACTTTTTTCAATAACTTATGCTGCTGTTGTAACTTCAAATGGCCACTAAAGAAATGATTATAAGTTAAGGACGACCTTACAAGCTTTACATTTTTATACAAATTATTATATAAAAAGAAAAGTTAAATGAAATCTTAATTTTATAATATTCCTTCAGCTGCCTTTTGCTTTGCAGATCTGTGAAAGTTGTAAAGGCAAGGACTGGTTACAAAACTACTTTTCATCCAAGTCATAACTGCAGAGATTGCTAAAGGCGGCAGTCCTTACACAGACTACTTAATAACACTGTTTACTTTCACAATTAACACCCTACTCCTCTAATACAAAATTTGGAGCAATCATTTTCTATCAAAGAATATTTCCAATAAATATCTATTTGTCTTACAAAGAAAAAAAAATAAGGTGAGAGAAGAATTACTTACCAACTTCTTTTATTATCAAAAAATAAAACCAAAAAAAGTTTTTCATCTGATTTGGTCTGCATTTGTTCACCAATTTTCAATACATCAAGGGGTGGCACTGGTATTGTAACACCATTGTGATGACCAGCAACACGAGGCATTTTAGGATCAATTATCTATAAAATGGAGAGGCCAATAAGACTAAGTAACTAGCAATATTTTAAAGATTCTTCAAAAATATTTCAATATTAATATTACTATGAACTTATCAATAAGCGAAATCTAGAGTATACCAACATATCTCTCCTGAGATATTCTAACTCGGAATCCAATTCCCACACTAACGTCTTCATTCCCTCATCATCATAGCTCTTCCTCAACACGTTCCACTGGAAGTAAAAAGACCTGATTGAAGTCTGCTTTCGTAAAGGGATTGTCTGGCAGAGATTTACATACTGGATGTAAATTAATTCTGTACAGACTTAACATTCAGCCCAGTAGACATAAACCTAAATATGTTACAGGTGTGTGGGGTTTGGGATTCAAAGACAAAAATGTGCTGCTATTTGGAACTTTCCAGCTGTGACATTTACAGGGTGTTAATAACTACCCTCCTTCTGGAAAAATATATTAATAGAGTTGCAGAAAGTGCTACATGTATTTTGCCTTTGAACCCGAAGTTCTATACAATCCTAAAATTCAATTTACTGAAGTTCTTAAAAAACATCATGTGAACAAAATTGTCATATAATCAATTGCATTCCTTTCCAGACTATTGCTTTCACATTTAGTAACCAGATGTGAAATACAGATGTACATGAATGTATATGCACACATACATATCTAAAGAGTTTATAAATGTTTATGTGTTTATCATTTTAGCTCAGTGTTTACTTATGTAATGTATTCCAAATAGATTCAGAAAGTTTTGTTTTTTAAAAAACGTATTGTTTGTCTGTAACTGAGCAATCAGATACAAACTTGTTATTTCATTAAGCACTTGTACTTCTGTCTACGAGTGCAAGTTGGCTTATTTTTTATGATATAGAAAAAACATATTGGTAAAAGTTTGTATAACTGAATATACATGACAGATAGAGCTACATTCTGTCAACTTCAAAAAACAGGTTATCACATTAGGAATTAAGAAATTACATACTAAAATTTAAGTTGCGAATAGCAGGATACTTGCTTTTATCTTTAATGAAAGTTGATTCCTATATACAGATCCTTACTCTGTAAATTGGGTTTTCCCAAAAGGTTTTGTTGATGGAGTGCTAACTTACCAGTGCTGGATAAGAAGGATAGCCACTACATTTGGCCCACACAACTTTTAGAGGTTCAAGGACAGAATTGGAAGCATCTGTTGAAATCCACATGTTATTGTGTCCAACTTCTAAAATGAAGAAAGTTATTTTAGAAAATAATTTGTTGTGATCTGTAAGGCTAAGCTGATGGAAAGACAAATTCAGGATGCTTTTTTGAGAATAAAAGAATGAAGAAACTAAGAAACAACTTTAAGCAACATTTTTTCTTGTCCTATATGAACTAAGATCTGGGGGTATAGAGGTTAAAGTGCAGTATTGTTGGAAAACTCTGCCCACAGCCTGGAGTTCGATTCTGATCGGGCTCAAGATTTACTCAGCCTCCCATTCTTCCAAGGTTAATAAAATGAGGACCCAGATTGTTGGGGGCAATATGCAAATAATGCTTCTACATTGTAAAATGCCCAGAGAGTGCTATAAAGCACTATGAGGTGAAATATAATATATATGCTTGAAGATCATTTATATGTTGATGAGTACAACTATAGATGGTTCACAATAAAACAAAATTAATATACAATCATAAGCACTGAAATCTGAATCAACTGTATAAATGAAAAAGGCTGCCATTGAGAAAGCTTAATTTCTAGCTCCTTTCATCTTGATTTATGAAAGACTCCTATTTGGCCCCTCCGCCTATGTGGATTGATGGGGCCATTTATAGGCAACATACTCCCAAAAGTAACAAGTGACAAATAGCCATGAAGAAACTGAGAAAAATGTGGTACTATTAGCAAAACTTTATCACAACACATCTTAAAGGAAGGACATGTATGAAAGCTATTGAGTGTGTTTACAAAAAGATAAGATGAAAATATTTTTGTTATATTTAAGATTTAAGAGAGTTTATGACCATAATTGAGCCCAGAATTAAAGTCGTAAGTCACACCATTTGTTTAGTGCAGGAGAGTCAAACTAATGGCGTCACAGCAGCATTACCTGACATAGTGGGAGTTTTTCCCCCCTTTGCTAAACCGGGCATGAGCGTGGCCAGTGTGTGATGTATCCAGCCCGTGGGCCGGGAGCTTGACAGCCCTGGTTTAGTGGATCATCACCTGACCACACTCTATTTTATCTTTTTTTTTGCAGCAGCAGAAGCAATCATTAAGTGAACATGGTGGTCATTAAGCCATTGCCTGCAATGGGCATTTTTTGCTGGAAACTAAAAATAAATACTGATTTCCAGCAAAACATCACAGACTGTGGTCATATGACTGGGAATGCTGCAAAAGGCCATAAATGCAAGCTAACTGCCAAGTGCCCAAACTATGATCATGTGACCTTGGGGTTAAAAGGAAGTATAAGTGAGGCTAAGAAAACACATGCAAATTAAAAGACTCTTTTACAGACCATGGCATTAAGTGGTATATATTAAAAAAAAGGACAACAATCCATTTCAATGAGTACAGATGCCAGGTCTGGAGAGGCAAGGCCTTTTAGATTACTAAGCAAACTGGAAGCTATAGAGATAGATAAATACTTATAAATATATACACACATACATATACATGAAAATATGCCAATTACCAGCTGCAATTCTTGCTGCTTTTGCGAAGTTTCCATTTTCAATGCATGATATCAACTCACTTCTGTCTTCTAAGGTGTGCCTTCGTATTAGCGCTGGTTTACCTTTTCCACATTTTGGTAGGCTAAAACTACACATATTTTAAAATGTATTAGAAATCAACAAAATATTATTTTCTTCAGAGATCCAAAAATTATCCCAACACGCAACTATCTGGTAGTTCAAGTTGTAAGGGCAAACAGGAATTATTTCAATTCTAATTTAGAAAGTCAAAATAACACAGAGCACTTTTTAAAGATGTTTAAATTTCAAACTATGCCTACAATCCCTGATAAGAAAAGCTAGCTAGCATTGCAAAAAAGTTACTTTCTTTGAGAACTAAAAATCCTGAACTTTATACTAAGGACTAAAATCCATCTCAGGCAAAATTGCAAAGCTCTCTTCCTTTCTGTTTGTTAGTATATACATTCATGCAACATTAAGAGATATTTAATTTTCTAAAGTTAACTTTTGAATCTCTGTGTCCGTTTATGTGTGTTATGGATTCCATCTATAAGGGATCACTGCCAATCCCTCCACTATATTTTGAGCATCCTTTCATTTAAGCAAACATATTTTTACCTTGAGTTACACAACAGACTGTTGCTTGAAGATATGCTAGACTCTGATGCACAACGGCGACGAGGTTCAACTTTTCTTCCTGGAGTGTCAGCTATTTCTGACTCTTTATTGCCATCTCCAAAACCGTTTGAAAGGCCTGGCAGGTTAACAAAGAAAAAACAAAATAGATCTAATTTGGAAGGATGCTGGAGTTTCATACTAATTCCAATATGCATTAATACGCATGTTTTACTGTCTCTATTAACAGAGCTGTAGTGTTTGAAAAGAAAGGATAAAATGTTAATTAAAAAAAAAAAAACTACAGAAGATCTGTAGGCACCAGTGGAAAAAAAAAAGGACATCCAGTCAAAGGAAATAATAATTGCAAGTCATGTCGAATAGTACTGCTCTTGAAATAACAGTTGAAGAGTCACATCAGAGGAAGTAACACACAACTAAAACCCTTCATTTAATTACCACTTTAGAAAACATGTAATCACAAACTGTAACCACGTGGGTAATATTCAGTATAAACCACCGTAGCTGCAAAAGAAAGTATAATTATTCTTCCCCACTGGCCAGAAGAAAATGAAGTCATTGTCCTCCACTTCTCATCTCATGTTTGGATCAAAAACAGTCAGTAGAGTGTTTATTTCCATAAATTTAAAATCATCATCACCATCATCATCATCCAGCATTATTATTGTATACACATGCTATCTCATACAAAACAGTACAATACCACTCCCAGAATCCAAACGTCTGTAACTTAAACTGATTTGACCATTTTAAATTTGAGAAAAGAGCCTGGCAAATCTAATATAGTAAGAAAATATTTGCAGGTTTATTGTGTATATGCTGATATGTTGAGCAAGTACTAAAAAGAATGATGCAATTTTTATGACTAATAATCAAGGCACCAAAATATGTATCATAAATGAAATATTTCCAATATTTCATTGTTAAACAACTGTTTTAAAAGGATGTTACCATGTGATACTCATACAACAAAATAATCCAAGCGTGTATGATCCTGCTGAATAAAATTCAGATTCCCACTCTGTCTCCTACAATTTCCATATAATATATGCATGCCAAAAGAAACACATGGACTCATATATGAGGAATAAGCAATACAAGACTATTTACCTACTACTATTAGCTAGATATTACAGTTTGGCTCGGTATTTAATAAAGATTAATACATGACAGCAGGCAGCAGATGCTGTCCTCTCTATATTAAAGACATTTTCTCATAGCAAAATAAAAATGTTTTGTTTGTTGCTTAAAAGGCTTTCAGAAGTATTAACATCAAACATTTTATACTAGTATCTATATTTACACCCATGCCCACTCTATACAATGGTAAAATTGTTCCCATTATCAATAATAGTTACTATGTGCATGCATGTTAGTAAGTATGATACTTCAGAAACAACAATTATATTCCTAAATCATCATGCAAATGGGAAAAAATAATTCCTATTGTTATAATTACTTCTTAATGCAAAACACAGTACGTAACTCTGACCACAGTACAAATACACACAGAAAGAAGATGGAACTGTGGAAAGACTGTATCCTTCTCAGAAGTCTACAAAGAATATCTAGCAAATAAAACATTGTTTTTTAAAGCATTTACATGCTTTTTTCCAATTTAGCCAATTTGATAAATGAGTCTAAATCCATAATAAATATTCTATTCCCCATGTCTATATGGTATAGTCTATAATACATATTATTTTATATAACTGCAGAGTTTCAAAATAAATGCAAAATATAACATACCAATTGCTGGGAACAAATATAGTCTATCTATAGTTCCATTCATATTTGGGATTTGCTGACAGACTATTTAAGAAATTGACTTAAAAAATGAAGAGGGAAAATAATCTATGAAGTGTATACTACTGACATTTCAAACAATTTTGAAAAATTTCAAGGACTGCCCACCAGGAAACTGATGGACTTACACATCTAAATTCAACTTCTGCCTATCAGATGTTCTGTCCCATCTACCTAAAACCAATCCATAGGACTTTGATTCAAGGGCTTATTTAACTCCTGATGGTTTTTGCATATATGTATGCATGTGTTGGTATGTATATATATGAAAATACTTCATTCTTTGGTATAGCTAGATAAAACAACATTTGTGACAGCAAAATCAGCTGTTAATTTGATTTTAAGAAAAAAATAGACTATGACATTTAATTGAGATTATTATTATTCACTATTAAAAACACCCATAAAGTCTACTTTCCTTCTAAAGAATAAGGTTTCTACCATGTAATATCATGCCGCAGGAAGCTAATTAAAGATTTATTTTTATATTACTACTGTTCCACATAGTAACCTTAGTAGCATTCAGGCATATAAAGTCTAAGGGATAATGTATGCATGTGCATTTGAAATCCGGAAGTTGAAATAAGTAATTGTAGCTGCAATTATAGATATTTTTCTTATCATAGCATAATTGCATTTATTTTAACAAATTATTGTTTTATTGTCATTCAACACACACACACACACACACACACACACACACACACAAATACACACGAAATGAAATCCTTTTTTTTACTTGAGTGTGTTATCACGAACTTAACTGAATTGTATTGAAGATGAGAATACAATGAAAAAGGTTTTAACAATGCTAAAAGCCTTTTGAAATGTATATAACTAAATCAACTTGTGACTACCAGAGTAATGTTCTCTACTGATCCCGCTCTTGAAACAAATGAAAAAAGCAAAATAAATTTTAAAAAAAATGCAAGCACAGCCACACAAGCAAGCATAAATAATATAGAAAACATAAAGGTAAAATTATTAACATTTGTAAAGTCCAATATAAGATACTGAATTTAGAAAAAAATATGCCCATCTACTTTAAATAGCACAAAGCTATTGCTACTTGTTTTATGGGGAACTGAAGCACACAGGATTAGGTTAGTTTATGTAGACGTTAGCTAAATTATAAAACGTGAGTAGTTTCAACAATTTAAGTTTATGTAAAAACGTGTATGCATAAAACCATGCTTTATTTCCTTAAAAACCCCAAACTATTAGTGTCTTTATTACATGCTGTGTGGATATTCATACCTTATGCAACAAATAAAGTGGAAAATTGTTACATTATTGGTGAAGTCTAAACCTGGGCTGATGGAAGATTTAGTTTGCAGAGGAATGATAATGGAAAGGAACATTCTTAACCAATCAACCCACAAGTAAAATATCTAAGATAAAGATTCTGGGGATTGGTAAACCTACAGCCAATTTATGTCACATAGATTGCAACATACAATTTTATAACTTACAGAGATGGGAAAATATACTGAATGAAGAGCATAGGTTCATATATATCAAAGAATTCCTCCAACAGTGTTCAAGATACTGATTTTGTTATAAAGATGTGGCTGATGTCTCCAACATGATCCAAAATAATTACTTGAAATGTAATTGTCTTTCTGCGTTCCAAAATGATCATTACATTGAATTCCAGTCCGTGTTCAGGATAATAGAAAATAATTAGGATCCAAATAGATAAATAGTCAGCATATTAGTTAATATGAGAACCTGGAAGACAGTGAAAAAGCCATTTAGTCTCACTGAAAGGAAAAGAGCTTGATATAAATAAGCCCTCCTCCCAGCAGTTTTCAGAGCAAGATTAGCAAAAACTATGCAAATTATCCATGTATTTTACTAGTTCTTTATTATATGTTTAACCTATCTACAGAGAAGAGGTCTGTGGTTAAATGATAAAGCTATTAAAAATAATGCAAAAATAGTAAAAACAGATACAACAGACTGAAACAGTCTTTTTTGAATCTGCTGCTCATTATTGAAATTGGCATCAGGAGAAAATGTTAAAAGTATTTTAATAAAAATCATGGGCTGATTTTGGAGGAGGGCAGATTTCTTTTTCAAAAACAAAATGCAAATGATACTTGTGAACTTATTTTTATATTTAATAGTCAATATTAGTAATTTGCCTTATGCCACAATAGTAGAGAAAAAAATGTTAGTAATGAAAACCTAAGAAACTACCCTGAGCATATATGGTGTATAGCAACATATTTAAGATTACTAGAAGCTACTAATTCATTCAGCATAAATATAGGAAAACACATTTGTCTTGAATTTAGCTAAAATTACTTAATTTACCTGTAAATTTCTATTTAAAACTTATATAGTATAAGTATATATATATCAAAGAAAGCAGATAAACCATAGAATGAATGTTGATAAAGAACTTCCTAAGAATGTAAATAGATAAGAAGTTGAACCTATGAGGCAGTTTAATACTAGATAAAAAATTGAACCTATAAACCTCTAAGAAATTGAATCTATAAAGCAGTTTAAATATATAGGAATATATTTTGATAATGCATGATTTTAGGCAGATTTTTTAAAAAAAAATACTATGGCCTGATATTGTCAATTGTTCAAAGAGAAGAAAAGATGCCCTCATTATTTGTATATAGTTTTTTACAAAAGAAAGATGACATTTTCTGTATTAGGCACATCATTTGCTGTTTAGTAATCATGAGTTCTGACAATCGGAACACAAAGACGTTGGAAATCCAGAGATATCCTTATCATATTCTTTTCTTTTTTTTCCCCCAAGACAGCAGGAATCACTGCTATTACCCAACATAACTATTTATTTAACAATTTTGTTTGATTAAAAAAAAATGAGAGTAGTTATACTAAATTTATTTTCTTTATATGAGACGGGTATTAACCTTGAAATCCTTTTACTGGAATGCAGATCATAAGCCCTGGACTTAACCTTTATTCATTTCTACATACCACTTAACAATTATGGGGTCACTTTAATTAAGGGGTCTTCCTGTATTTTTTAAAAAATGTATTCAGTTTACTAAACTAGTTGAGCTAATTTATCTATGCAAGAATGGGAAAGTGAAACTATCCTTCAAGCACCAGGAAAGGTGCCAATAGTTACATTCATAGAAAACACATTAGCAGCACCCATTAGCAAAGCCTCTGCGCATGCGCACACACATGGAGGCAAGCAGGGAAAGACCTGAAAGGAAGAAAAAAAAATCCTTTGGGGGACATTATCATTTTAACACTTCAAGTAGAGGGATTTGCTTATATCAATGTGCTCTGCAAGACTGCCTTTCAAATGCTTTATATTCCCTGTTTGTTTTGTGAGCTTATGTAACTTCAAAGACATAAGAATATTTTGTTGTTGTTTAAAAGTATTGGTTTTCTATACATGTGTTGTACAAAATAACTCTTTCCTTTTCAAAATGTTGAACAAAACATTGCAATAAATGTTAGCCACAACTATACACATTGCTTTAGAGAGTTAGTTTGTTAGCTGTAGGATTACATTATTAGAAAGCATCGTTTATTAAAATGTCTGCCATAAAGTGTGTTGAGTAAGAAATACTTATTTTACAAAAAGGCAAACTGAACACAAATCTGTTTCCAAAGATCCTGAACACAAAGCAGAATGGAAGTCTAGAAAGTAAATGTATTTCATCATTATCCAGAAACATATAGGGAACACCCCCACAGAGAACATATGAACCACTCTTTCAGTATATATCCAATCAAAGGAGGCTAGTGCTTTATATTGAAGTACTCCTGAACCCTCAACTGTATACATTTGATTACCGTGTTTCCCCCCAAAAAAGACAGGGTCTTATTTTCTTTTGACCCCCCCAAATAAGTGCTTGGCCTTATTTTTGGGGAGGTCTTATTATTTTTGAGGTGCAGAAGGTGGTGAGTGAGCGTAGTCACCTCATGGCTGCTGCTGTGTTGCAATATTTTCGGGGAAGGGCTTATTTTAGCGCATGCGCTCAAAAGCCTGATTGGGCTTATTACCTGGGGAGATCTTATTTTCGGGGAAACAGGAATCCGGATCATACTGTTTAGATCTCAATTGCTGATGCACTTGTGAACACAGGGAATCTGCAACTCACCCCATCAATCTCTCCTCCTATATGCCTTTTTGGTCCTTTGCCATCCTGCGCCCCACCCCAGCTGACTTTTGCCACTGTCTTCTTGATCCTGTTGAAAAGACATATCCAGTCTGACGTTGGGCCATATGGAGCCGGCTTCACCGGGGGAAAAGAAAAGAAAAGTAAAGCAGGTCCTCCCTGAGCCCACATGCACCAAAATGCCATGCTCCTGGGCTTATGGGGCTGGCTTTGCACTGTGAAGGGGGAATAAAGCCACAAAGCAGACTCTCCCTGAGCCAGAGTGGAGCAAAGGGGTGTTTCTTTGTAAAGAGCTTCTGGGCACGGCTGAAACTGGCTTTGCACCGAGAAAAAAGAAAAATTGTTTGTGCACCACCACCCCAATTTTGCAACCCAGCCAAATACAGCCAATAGAGCCTTAAGGTACTTTGGCACTATCCAGCTCAGGGAAAAGCTGCTTTGGGTTTTTCTTTTCTAGTAATAGCATGGGTGTTATGAAATGTGTGCTGGCCAAAGTGCCTGAACTGCAATCATGGGATGGGTGTGGGTGGGTGTGCTTTAACAGCAACGACTTTTGAGAACAGGACATGGATAACAGGCATAAGTTCCTTTTGAGCATTGAATGAATGGTCTGTGAACCAGGACTACCTGATTTATTAGCGTTTTAGGAGGCACTTTATAAATATATCAGAAAACTAAAGTTCTGAGGAAAAATAAAATTATCTTTCATTTACTCCCAACTATATAGTACAAGTATATACTTCAAATATAAATTATGCCCACAAATATTGGAATAATTATAGCAATAATAATAGAACAGTTAGAAATAATATATTTTTTCTCTACACTTAAGTGGAACATTTGTCCTAATTCTCACAAAACCATAGTATCAAACAACAAAGTTGCTTACTATAATATGCATTCCCAATAACCAAATCCTTACATAAAGACACAATACATTATAGTCGATTTAGAGTTGTATTTCAGTCTTAAATATCATTGATTCAATGGAATCAAAGCATAATTCAATCCAACATATACTGGTTTAAATCCAGTATGCTGCTCTAATCATGCTTGAGGAATTCTACAGAATGCAGGAAAAAAATGGATTAAAAATATTGTTACTCAAATCATAACAGAAGCAATAAAATTCACTTAATATACATCATAGCACTGTTACTTCAGAGAAAGATCATCACTCCTACTTGTGAAGTAAGTATGTGGCCTGTAACTATTAGAAACAGAATAGAACGGTTCTTTGATAGTTCAATACATGCAGGTATGAAGCATCAAATTTAAAAGCATTGTTCACCAAGTACAATTCGGCTTTTGTATTTTCAGGAAGGCAGTGAAAGTTGTGATTATTTTTTTGCCTTTCTAAAATAGTAAAGCAATTTAACAGAATAGAATAGAATTTTTTATTTTCCAAGTGGGATTGGACACACAAGGAATTTGTCTTTGGTGCATATGCTCTCAGTAAATAAGCAGACAAAATGTGAAAATTATAACAATATGTAAGAAGCTCAAATATTTTAAAAGCTTACCTGCGCAGCTTTTTCAAAATCGTATTATATTATATCAAGAAAATGCTCATGTGCCATTAAGTTATCATATTTTTTAACCCACCTCTATAGCACTTACAAGACATTCGATACATGGATAGCCAGACCCCCAAATTGCAGACAAACTGTCATAACACAGCCCAGGAATACTTCTGGCACTAACCATCAATTGTAAGTCTTTTAACAAGTATAATACATTAATAAAATAAAACAAAAATCCCAGAATGGAAGATGAAAAATAAAGCCTTTTGTGTAGCATAATCATGTATCCAATTATATAGCAAGGTGGCAAAAACCCAGCTCTTTTCTCCCCATAGCTGCAGAAAGTGATTCATTCCTAGAGTAGAAATATTTTAACAGCAGTTCTAAGAAACTTTTAACATTTACCTTTACAATTTTTGAATTCAATTCAACATGATAAATCCACAATAGATCTTACATATTTTGTTTTCTATTTGCCTTCTGTGAAAGACAGTAAAATAATTTAAGTGAACTCTATGAATGGTTTCTAACATCTGAAAAAATAAATAAATCCAGAGTCATTTAGATTTGTTGGGTATTGTTCTCTTTTTTAAAAAAAATCTCTTCTACGTGTTTTATTAACTTTTTAGAGCAACTGAAACCCTTTTTATTTCAAGAGGTTTTATGTGAATTAGGTTTAAACTGACTAATATTTTCTGATTGACATTATTTTTGTAGTTACATGCTGTTTGTTTGTTATATTTTATTCTGACTCTTAAATTATGTTATGAAATTTCTCTTATAAATTCTGAAAATATATAGCCTTTCATTTTAAATAATTACAATGCTAACATGCGTGTACATTGATCATTTTCAGACAATTATTCAAGATTTAGAGAGTATATTCAACCTGAAAATACATGCAGTATAAAAACAGTGTACAAGCAACAATAGATGTTGAACAGTCAGCCTGTCATTACTATTTTGATTCACAGATCCAAATTCAAAGGTAGAATTCAGTTTCTAAACAGAAGTTATGTATGTTTACACACAGAAATAAAACAATAATCAATTATTTTATCCTACTTATTAAAACACAGAATTCTTGCATTCATTTTGTATTGATAGGTAGACTCTGAATACTAAAATAACTGATTTTTATGATATAAGTCATTTGTTTTCAGGAATAAAAAGTCAAATAAATTTGCAGACAGCACATTTATAGATAACAGTATCTAGAAAACAGCATATGTTCCATTGTATACACAATATTTCTAATCAAGCATTCTGACTTTAATGTGACATAAAATTCTTTGTCATACATGAATTTCTATCATATTAGGACTTATGAAAGTATAGGTTTAATTAATTATCTATGTTAAATTAAATGTAGTAATTAAAGATGTCTGCTACCCGCTCACTTATAGAGATTTCAGATTAGTATTATCAATACCAAGGACATCTATTTTTTAGCTTTCATTAGAAGCACTGCATAAAACATACAGAAAATACAAAGTCTATTTAATAGTCCAGTAGAAGCACTTGTACATTATCTATATTTACAACTAAATATACAGACGTAAGATAAATAGACATACATTTTCAAATGCCATGACACAATTCAACCCCCCCCCCCAGGAAAAAGAAATAATTATTAAATCGTTACATGGACATGGATATATTTTGCAGTTGAGTTTTAAATAAAGTAATTTCTATTCATTAGAAACAAAAGGAACTATATAAAAGTCAGGAAGCACAATTTCAAGAGCAGACCAAAAATGTACTGTACCAAAAAGTAGAGATACACATTAATAAAAGAAAATTAATCTGATAAAAGATATACCAAATAAATCACATTCTGTATTTGTTAATTTAATATAAATGAATTAATATATTTAATAGTTATCTAGGTTATTGAAAAAGTAAGTAAAGCAAATGTTTACCTGTATCCAGACGCTTTACAGGGGACTCATCATCCACCTCAGAATCTCCACATGCACTCCTTGACCTTTTCCTGGGCTGCAGTAGTGTCTCCAACCTTGGAAGGACTACAGACAAAAAGGTTTTGGTCCCTAGCTGTGGAGAAGTTGGCTGGGTTTCAGTGTTCTTTGCAGACTTTGGGGGGCTTACACTTTTCGATTTGCAGAAGAGAATTGATGTACGTCTGTTTACATCAGTTGATGACTCAGCTACAGCAGAAACAGTCGACTCACTGAGATTACTGTCAAGTACATGTTCTGGAGTGTGTCCGTTTATTTCTTCCTGAATGGAAGTACTACACAATTCATTGTCAAATTTTACTCTTTTGTAAAATTTATTCTGCTCGGGATTGAGTTCTACTGGTTTGAGGGTTGGTGGCTCTGAATTAGTCTCCGAGTTTGAAGGAAGAGGTAATGCATCTGATGGTTCAAGTTTAGGGGGAGATTTATCTCCTGAAAAAATTAATAAAGTTGTTTTTTTGAAAACTGGTAATTATAAGAGCTACTACATAAAACTTAGTATCAAATATGTAGCCCGCAGTAAATATTGTTTGATACAAAGTAAAGCATCTCATGTATGTAAACTTTAAACAAACTATCTGTCCTAGTTAATGACTAAATTTATGTGGGAATGATGTAGAAGTAAAAAAGACTGGCTTTAATATTCAATGTCATTATTTGGGAATAGAAACTCTCACTGGAACCAATATTATGAATGCTTTGTGTTATGGACTTCATATCAATGTTTCGAATGTTTAAATATTAGATTTATATCATAATATTCTCTTGCCTTATGCTGTTATAAACTATTTCTACTTCAATAAAATGCACTGAATGAATGAATGAATATACATATACATATACATATACATATACATATATATATATATATATATATATATATATATATATAT